GGAGTTACCAGACTTAGACTACCTGGATACCATCAATCTGACAAAAAGATACAAGTTCTTGCAGAACTTAAGAGAACATTTTCAGCAAAAGATTTAGTGATGAATATTTAGCTATCCTAGTGCAAAAACCATCTAAACGATCTACTCGGACTATCAACAAAAATGACTTGGTGTTTGTCGGCAGTGACAAAAAGAAGAGAATAGATTGGCCAATAGGTCATGTTGTAGAAACATATCCTGGGAAAGACAACGAAGTACGTGTTGTCAAAGTGAAAACTGCAACGAGTGAACTCCTAAGACCTGTGAAACGTATTTATTCTCTCGAACTTGATAGACCTAACTTGTTTGGTGACTTTACCACGAACAGATAAACTCTGCCGATAAGTGTGACAGTGATATGAACTATCAAACTAGATATGGACATAAAACTGTAAAACCTGTTACATATTTTTAAATTGCTATACTAATTTTTGTTTCTTTTCAGTATTTTAGAAATTTAATTGTCCTAACAGTAATGCAGAGAATGTTTAGATGTGTAATCCTTCTTTGTAAGTATTAATTTTAGAGCATTAGTTACTTTGCATATTTGTGAAAGTTGTATTTGAATTTTTGTTTGATTATTGATAAATTTTGTTTTGATTTTCCCGTCTTATCGAGGTAAAATCAAAAGGTGGGAGGATGTCACATTCTTGCCACTAGATGGCGGGCATCTCTTCCTTTACTTTTGCTGTAATTAAATTCCGAGGAACGAGACGAGATTAAAACCGCTCTGAGGAGCGTAAAGACGAAACCTCAGAGAATTAAAATGTACTGTCTTATAATAATTATCACCTACCTTGTAAATAGTGTATGTTAGTGTCTTATTTCAATAAACAAGTTAAAAGACAAGATGAAGCCTGTTAATTATAATAGAAACTCTTACTGGAAAACGTGATTATTAGACGCCTGGCGTTGAGAACACTGAAGATGCAGCAGGTAAGGAATTTTACATTAATTTTATTGTAAATAGAAGAACCTGATGCAACAGTTATTTTTAAAGTTGAATAAAAAGGGCTTTAAACCCTTCTTACGTGTCTGTGTAAATTTACATGTTGTAGCAGTCACTACCACAGTTGCTGACAAGTTGGGACCACACGATACTACAAAGTTAAAGAAATATCCAAGCTGCTAAAATGTTTGGGGACCCCCTGCTGTAGGTCCCGTGACCCCCCCCCACAGTTTAAGAAACTCTGATCTAAAATATGGAAATTTTCAGAATCAAAGTCCCAATAAGCCCAGATCTCAGAATTTGTACTGTATAAAAATACTAAGCTCCAGAATGAAAAAATTCTATATAATTCATGTACGTTCGATTCATATTTGACTTCAAAAAATCAATTCAGAGAATATTCAATTCAGAGAATTGCAGTACATATTCTCTGAATCAAATTCAGAGAATATGTACTGCAATTAAATCAAGCCAAAATTAAACATAAATCTCCAACAGAGTTTCTTAACCAGAAGGGAATTCCCTCCCTCCTCAGGGGTTCATAAATTCAGCGGAAGAAAATGCAGTTAGTCTTTTATTTAGATATTAAGTATTTAGTTTTAATTTATAAATATGAAAAACTACTTTTATTCGAGTTCTGGTATTTATCAGCATACTCTATATTTTTTGTTGTTTAATATGTAACACACATTAAAAAATAACCTAAATCTAAATAAATGTATATATGTATTTTGTTAGTTTAGGAATGGAGGAAGGGATTTTCTTCTAGTGATGGCGAAAGAGATGCATGGGGCAAAACAGATTGAGGTGAAGTGAAAGAGGTACATAAAGCAAAATAGGCCACTAATCTACAAGAAAACAGATGATACTTCAGATTAATGCACAAGCTTCACAACTGAAATAGCCAGGAATTTTCAATAAAATGATGATTTAAGATTGAAATAACATGAAAATGTATGATCACGAATATGCACTCCCAATGCTTACAGGGAATGCAAAGTACTCTAAAAGTTGTTAATGCATTTCCTCTATTGTTAACACACTAACCATAAAGGAAAGTAATGCACTAAACTTTTGAAGGCAATAACTCATTTAAAAAGTTTATGTATATCTTCAAGATACCCTTTGCAGTCTATGCGAGATGTGATCCTCTTTCTGGAAATGAAATGAAAATTACATAACAGATATGATCACTTTACAACCCATAGCAAGAACTACACGTGACATGTCAGCACTCTGTTTTAATTTGGACATCTGACAATGTGTTTCAATTTCATGTTTTAATTTGGACATGCAACAAATTGAAACATGACTGAGTACATTGCAGCTGACAGATGCATCATAAAAATTGGTGCCTTCTGCAATTTTTTTTTAATTGGTTAATAAAATCTTTATTTACTTCATCTCAGTATTATATTCTTTAAAATGGGCCAATAATTTATACCCTTTAAACATTATTTACTTCATTTAAGGTAATTTCTTAAGATAAGAGAAAAATATAAGAAAGATATTTAAAAGTTTTAAAATTAATTAGTTTTTAAATGGTATAAAGTTGTCAACAAAAAATTAGAATTTACAAAGCCAACACTAAAAAAGGGAGGAGGGGGTAGAAAGAAAAATCAGTTGTTTAAATGCCATCATACGCCACTGACTTATACCACCTGTCCTCAAATCAAAATTATATTAAATATATAGGATCCTATTTGGAAATATTTTGTTAAAAGCACATTTCTGACTATTTGTTACCAAATACCAAATAAGCAGATATAGAACATATAAGCATCAAAATATTTTAATAAATATGAAAAATATTTAAATGCATATTTTTTTATTATGTTTGTTTCCTCTTCAACAAGGATCCATGTCCGATATCTCTTGAAATCGACAGCATTTTATTGAAATATCTACGTCAAAATAAGATTGCTGTTTTGCCTAATTTTAAGTTTTACTTTGATGTGTTTCTCTTCCTATCTGATACTTACTGTTAGTCTTAGCTGTAATAGTTCAAACATAATTTGTTGTTTGTGCTTTAAAAAAAAAAAAAAAAAGACAAAATAATATCACAAAAAGGGAAATTGATAGCCCTGCCCTTAAAAAGTTTTGAGAAGCACCTTCATTTTACGTTAAATACTGAAATTGTCATTATCTAAAGTGAATACGAGTATAAAAGCAAAACATTACTATATGGAATAAGGATGTCAAAAATATATCAAATCAAATAAATATAATTCAAATACTATAAAAGTAATAATATGTTTCAAAAAATATAAAAATAATTAGTTAAATCAAACTCATGTTTTTTCAAATATTGGGTGCCATATTATTAATATCCACACTAAAAGTCAAACATATGGCTAAAACTCCTTCAAGTGGCAATGCATGCCCAAAATCTCCATCAGAAGTGGCGCATATCATTGTAACTTAAAACACAAAGCGAAAGCCTAAAATGATTATATATGCAACCGAAAACTAACTGTGCAAGATGCTTCATCAAAATAGATGCTGTTAGAAGAAAAAAACAGGCTGAAAAAGAATATGTGATATGCTCTTATGTATGATAATGCAACTACTGCTATGTTTTAATTCAAACTACTATTAGTTTAAACATTTATCTAGATAGGCTAGAAAGTTTTATATTTCACAAAACCATATTTACAAACAAACATTTTTAGCAAGATAACACACAGTTTTGGAATACCAGACATTATATATTCATGATTTGTTGAGTATGGATTTTAGTGAATAGTAAATTGACCCTTGCTTTGAGCCATTCACTTACATGAGATTATATAATGGAAATTTTTAAAAATGTTTTTTCTCATAAATGATACAGCAATAAAATGTCTAAGTCATTAATCACAGATATTGTGTAGTGTCACAGCAAAAATGCTATAACACATTTAAGCTTCTCATGGTGGTTTTAAAATCGTAAATGGTCTAAGCTGAACTGGAATTCCAGAGCAATTACATTTTTTATTTGAGGACTGCAATAAAAATCTCTGCATGTTTCAATCTTCAGTATCATGTGTGCTTTTAATATGGCAGATTCATTAAGAAATTTCCGAGTAAGATAAAAGGTTTTCTTGGTGATTGTAGAATTCAGGTATAAAAAAAGATGCCCTATGAAACTGAATGTCCCCAATAAAAAGTAAGTTTTTAAAAGTAATGATTTCATTGTAGACTACAAATTTACATATTCACAAAAATATTCTTAAAATTTTAAACACAATTCCATCAACTGCTGTCAAAGAACATGGTTACTTAATCTACATGATTACACCTCTAAAAATAAATAATTCTGACTATGAAAACTTATAGCACATATTTAACTTCTATAGCAGTCATATGAGAAATAAATTTTCTAGCAGTCATATGAGAAATAAATTTTCTATGTATTATAAAAAGGCTATATAGGAAGAAAAATTCAAGAAAGCAAAACAGAAAATTTGTATAAGATATATGCTAAAAATTATAAGATCTATTCCATGAAAGCCCCCATACAGATGAAAAAAAAACAGCAAGATCAATGCTCTTTAATTAATAAGATGTACTCTAGATACTATTTAAATCACCTCAAAACAGAAAAAATATTGATATCGGCACTAAGCTATGAAGCAAACTTAAAGAGGAATCATTTGAATTATATAAAGATTAGTTATTACATATAACTACTATTCATACTTGTATTTTGTATGATACCACTATATTCTATATGAGAAAGATGCATCTTGACCATTTGAATTTTAAAATTAAGCAAAATTCAACCTAAATTTCATTTTACGAAAAAAAAAAAAAAAAAAAAGAAAGCTTTATACATATTGAAGGACTCAGGCCAGCAGACAATAATTTGAAGAAAATTACAGCTTCTTTCTCTAAAATGTATACTAAAGTTACTATTACTTTAGTCAAATTATTTAAGAAATATAGCAATTCTTTACCATATAAACCACTATAAACAGAGTTAAAAATAAAAATACATGGTACAACAGTATATAACTTTTGGATATCATACCTGAGGATGATGAGAAATTCTATTCCACAAGTGAAGTAGCATAGGATTGCAAAATTTAGAATTTTGGATTAATTTTATTTTTCTCCCACAAGTGACCCAGTTCTTATAACTTTTACTCTTCATTCTATTCCGTTCCTTTTATAAATAAAAACATATCATTGAATATGATTTGTCAGATTCAAGAAACAGTAATTTTTTTATTTTACATAAATATATATACATACAAATTGAAGAAAAAAAATTAATTAAAAACTATTAGAGTTGTGCAAAATTAATGTGAGTGATATAGAAAACAATATAATACAATATAAATCTACCAAAAGCAGTAAGCTGCCTAATATGGTGAAAGCCCAAATTATGCTGCTTTTTTATTTCTACTTTCTTCCTGTTAGGTACGATTTTTATTAGATTTATATTTATAATTTCTTTTGATAATTTTATTATTTTTGAACCTGCAGCAATTGCACAGATCATCTTTTAGTTTTTTTAACTTTGTTTTAGAAATCTTTAAAAGAAAGTTTTATCTACTTTCTTTTGAGTTTTTTTATATTATGTATATATACGTCCTGCAGTCACTATTACTCATATACTTAAATTATGAATTAATAAAACTTTAACCAAAACAGTAATCAAAACCATTGTTTTTATCAGTTTTTCATCTTGATCCTTTTTAGTGAATTAAAACCCCACATGTTTATTTAAGGATTGATAGTCAAGTAACACTTATTTACCCAATTCTAGATATGCTGATACATATTTATAAAATAGTCATTCTTAAGAAAGAAAAAGAAAAATGATCAAACTTTATTGGCTATAACTACACTTTTCATTTTTACTATCATTAAACATTTTAAGAGAAGAAAGTGTCTCTATGTAATTCGCCCAGAAAGAGCAAGCACTATTTTTTATTTTACATTATAACAGATTGTTTCATGTTTCCTTCCATACTTTAATCAAATGTTTATTAAGAGTAAAAGGTATAATGCAGTTAGAACAATGATCAATTAGAATTTAGAAAGCATGCGGAAACATTTCTTACTTTTAGTGTAGTTTAGTGTAGTGTATTATACAGTACAAAGTCTGAAATCCAGATGTTCATTATCCGGAATGATCTGAAATCCGGACCTGAAAGCCACAAACATTTTTTTTCGGGTATGCTTTCCGCATGCACATTTGATTTTTCCTTCCATAATGAAACATGTGGAGATTTTCACTTCCGATTTTTAATTTCACTTAGGCACTAAATAAAATACCTCGCTATGGAAAAACAATCATGTAAGCATAAATTTGTGAGATTAATAATTTGGCTCCATAGCTGAGTATCTGTTTTGGCATATATCTCAAATGTTCCATTCCATTTACCGCTGTTCGCAGCGCTTACCAAAACATTGACCTATTTTATATCCCTGACGCCGACCTGGCGAATATTTTCTTATATTTTGCTTTCATCCTGCATGTTTTCAATACATGACAGCTTCGTAATAACTCGTGCAGTGATGTCTAAACTTTGTTTATATAGTAATTGAATAATAAGAGTATCAATTTTATGCTAACATTACCTTGGCGGATTATAGATTTTAAATGCTCTAAGAAAATGTTGACGAGGAAAAATTCAATAGATTGCTTCATATGCAGAAATAGATTTTTTAAGAAACTCATAGGCCAAATATTACATTTAGTGCTATTTAATCAAGAATAATGATATGTTTTCAGAAACCTAGAACTGGGCAGAATATGTCAGCACCGGACAGCAGAATTTAGGGAAGACAAAATTTTTGGAATTTGGGGAAGCTCCGAGCAGCAAAATTAAGGGATGAGAAGTTTTTTATGATTTAGGGAAAGCACTGGGATGCAAAGTTCAGGTGTGGTGGAAATTTAGAACATAGGAAGGCACTTTGTAGCAGAATTTAGGACCCATAGAGACTGCACCACGCGGTATTTAGGGCCGGCCCTAGATAAAGCATTAAGTATAAGTGGGAGTTTATTTATTCAGGACTCAGATTAGTTTTAAGCATGTGCAAGAAATAAACGTAGGTATAGTAAATAACTAAACCAATATAATTCAGGCTTAATTCAGTATGCAAGACAAAATTTAGCAAAACAATTTAGCTTTTGTCGCCAATCTTGTGATAATAATGTATCATGGACGCTATTAAGCTAGGCTAAAATTATCTTTACTAATTCTAAGGCATTTCAGTTAATGTAGCGGACTGAGCTGTTCCCTAATCTAGTTTGATGCAGCTTCTTATTTTTTGCAGACTGTTATTATTACGACAATTTAAAAAAAACTAAGCTTAGCTTGAACTTTTGATTATGTTGAAAAGAGTTTCCAGTTCTGGAGCTGTCAAAGGATCTACAAAGTGAAACCATGTTTCGATGTTCATTAAACAAAAAGTGAAATTGCTGCAAAAATGGATAAAGGCATATCCGTCTCAAAATTATGCAAGGAGTATGGCATTGGAAAATCAACTGTACATGACATAAGAAAAAAGAAAAAGGAACTTTTTGAATTTTTTGTGGAAGCAACTTAAACAACTTACATTGAAAGAAATGTTTAATAAAGTAAACAAATAAATATTAAGCTTTTTTTGTAAATTTTGATACCTTTAGATCATAATTGTTCTTTATTTTATAAGTTACGATTTCATATTTTTAATTGTATAATTTCTGCATGCCATCTTACCAGATTTAAATTGATGATCTAACATCCCAAAAAATCCCAAATCCGGAATCGCCGAGGTCACGGCGAATCCGGATTTCGGACTTTGTACTGTATTAATTAAGTTTATATTTGAAGAATTATTAATATTTTTGTATTTGACAGGATGTAAGGCTTATTATAATTTTAAAAAAATTAAATAGCTTAAGCAAATGCATATTACACATATATTTACATTTCATATAAATGTATTATAGTATAAGATAAAGACAATTTTAAATTACTGTTAGCATATTTAATTTTCATATGCATATTATTAATATTTTATTTTACACACATTTTTTCCCCATTACCTTCCATAATACATGCCACTCCAGATGGTCAAGATTTCTTTTTGGATTGACTGGAAAACAAGAATTTAACCTTTTCTCGATATCTAGTACTATATCCTCCCAAAGCATGGATCTTGATTTCATTAAATTATCAAATGTTTCACCAAGCGCATGAAAATACATAAATTTGCAGCTTTTGTTTCTTTCACAATGAAAACTTGTCCATATCTAAAAATAAAGATTTACGAGAAATTATTTTATTTTTTAATATGACATGGAATGTCTAAATTACCTCAAATTTACAAAGGTGACATCAAAAGATATGAAATTTTGAATTTTTAGCACAAACTGAACATAATTTATGATTCTGCCACTCAAACCACAAAGCTAGAATACTATTTCATCTGTAATAATGTTCTACACATAGTTTTATTTTCCAAGCAAATTCAAAGTACATAGTATGTTGGTCTTCCTTCATTTTATCATACCGAAATAATTCACATAAAAGTGTGAATTGTTGAACATGTTAAAGAATTACATTAATTAACATTAACATTAGACTTGAATTAGAATAACATTAAGACTTGAGAAGAAAATGTATCTAAATCACAAACTTGATAAGGCCATTATTTTGTGAATGGTTCTTTGCATAATGAAAACCTCTCTGTTCCCACAGCTTTAACAGAACAGTTATTTTTGGTTAAAAATAATGATGATTATATCCTGCTCATCTAATTTCATTGACTGTGACTGTTTTTTTTTTTTCAAATGATAATAAAACTAATAGACAAATATAGTACTGATGTTCTAGAATTCAATGAAAATCTCTACATGATGACATTAGAAAATGATTTTGTCTATATGAGATGTGTTGGAGTAAGTGCACTTAATCATGAGGTAAATATTTTAAATGAATTAAAATTTCAACTAATACATACTAAAAACAATTCCACAATTTTTTGGGTTCACCTTTGTGCTTCCATTTAAGTCAATCAGTTATCTGTGACAAACATTTATATCCAATTAACATTATTTATTGTTAAGTTCTAAATAAAAACTCAACAAACCTGTTTGCGAAATGGAAACAATCTCCATGAATTATATTCTTCACTTGAAATTACATTGTACTTTTTAATGTACATTTCAGCTAAGATTCTTTTCTCTTCTTCTAAAACTTCTTCATTTATTTGCTTTAAAGAATACAATGCAAGATTTTTGTTGATGGCATTCATCTGCTTTTCCAGGAACATCTTAGAGCATTCTCTTAACTGGAACATAAATGATTCTGGAATCAGTGAGTGAGGAAACATAGCTTTTTCTTTATTTGCCACTATCAAAGAAATATGAAACTAAATCAGAGATTAAATTATACAGCATAACAATACTATTTTATTGTGAATTTCAAAAGTGTAACATAAAACTGTAATTAATTGTAAAAAATAAAGATGAAGTACATCACAGATAATTACTGGAACTGTAAGAGAAAGAAATAAAATAATAATTTGTTATTTAAGTGTTTTCATTGCAAGTATAATGGTATATCAAGAACAGCTATATTATTGTGTTACACATACTATTAGATTTCTTATTTGTTGAAAATTTCATTAGTGAATCTCATAACAGTAGTAAAACAAATTCAGGACTTTGAGTTATAACAGCCTTGACAAGAAATGGAAACTGGGGCATTTCAACTTTGGTGAAAAACAGTCAGCTACCATTATGCAAAAAGAAAAATAAATAAATAAAGTCATTTAATGTCTGTGGTTACTGATCCCCCACATAAGCATGCAGGGCTGGTAGAAATGGGCTAGCAATGCTGGCAGGTGTGCTCAAAAAGAGGAACTGCCAGACACATCTCTGAGACAAGAATCAACTACATGAACTCTGATTAATTATTATGTGTTTATAAGCAAATATGTAGAAAATAATTAAAATGGAATAATATGTAATGATATGAATTGTGCTTGACATATACATCTAACATAAAATATCTTTAGAACGAAATTAAATAAAATTTACATACTATATCTACAGCAAGTACCTTAGATATAAATGCATGTGATATATATATATATCAAGCCCTTGAGATGGCAGCAAACTTAAGTTCTAGAAAGTGCAACACATTCTCTGTGAAAACATCTGTTGCATTCATTTTTTTAAAATCATGTTGATGAATCAAAACAGTAGTTCTGTATAAAGTTATGATGGCATTAAATTCAAGTTCAGTTTATTGATACAAGTAATCTAAGAACTCGTATATAAATTTTAATTCTCATCATGGTTCTCCATGTTATTTCACCTTTATTTCTGTGAGTTTTTATTGTGTCTCTAGTTTTTATTGCATCTACTAGACCACCTTGATTTTAAAAATCCTACAGCCTATATAATTTTCTTATCCCCCCCCCAATCTGCACTCCTTCTGTTTCCTTCATTTATAGTATTTTAAATTTCTTAAACACCAGAAGTAACTTCAGAGACTTGATAGCTCTGCCTCAGTGTTGGCAGGCCATTCCTGTTTTATGATAGCAAGCAGCAATAAATTAGCATTAAACTCAATTCATTCCAAGCTTAGCAATGAGATTCACTGGACCCAAACTGTGACTTCTTTAAAAAAAAATTTAACATATTCCATTGCTCCCCCTTCTCTAGGACAAGCTAGAGAAATTTCTGAGTGAGGATGCATAGATAAACTGCAACAAGGGTAATTTACATATCTATAACTGGAAGATCAATATATTGTCAACTTCAATAATTCACAACTGACAAATTTCCTTATAGAATACAATCAACTTAGGATGCTGTATAATGCAAACTAAAATTGACATAATCTTTCAAAGACATTTAAAAGTATCTCCTGAAGAGATTTATTTCTCAGTTTGTTGTTGTTTACACATACTGCCAATGTTTTCAATAAGTAAATTAATAAATAAATTTTAAAGTGTTAGATGTGATTTTGGATCAATTCTATTTTCTCCAGCCATTCCTGCTAAGATGGATTTATATTAAGCAGAATTCCGTGGTGTAGTCATACTTATCCGATACACAAGTAAACTAAAAAGGGCCAAAATATGGAAACTGTTTACCTTTAAAGTAAAGCTTTAATTTTAACTTCTTTTTCCTCCTTTTTTTCATAAAACCATTAATGATGTTGTAGAGGTCTATTTCACTGGCCTAGTTACTGTTATGCAGAGAGTACAAAAAATGTAGAAAATTTTTCTCAGATTTAATAACTATTATAACAATTGCGAGGAAAATTTACAGTAGTATTACAATATTTGGAACTTTTAATAAGTATTTAAACTGTAAAAGTTCAAAAGAACAGCCCTTCCATATTTCTGTTTCATTTTTTTCTAGCAACAAAGGAAATAAAACCTGAAATATTTCTCCCTCAATGGGAATTCTTTTGCATTAATGTCATCGAGGTCATAATTTAATTAATATTTACATTTTTCATTCAAAAGTTTCGAGAGAGTAAAGTTTGCACAGCAAAAGTAAATAGCTGTTGAAATCATGTGTTTATTTTTGATATTATATCTGGGATAAAAGCTATTTTTGTACTCAATTTAATTTTACATGGCAATCCAGAATCACATTATTCTTCACCTATTTTGATGATTACATGACCAATCCCCATGAAATAATATTTCACTCAAAAATACTGGATAAAAAAAGGGGTTGCCCAGGGTGTAACCAACCTCTCGAGCTACATGATTGGAGAGGCTTTACTGTAATTTTTGACATATGGTGAGTAACTACTTTAATATATGACTGGTAAAATTCAAATTATTTATGAATATTGTATAAAATAATATAAAACTTAATAGTTAATTTTAACTTAATGTTAGCTCATTACATCTCTGACAGAAATCTTTAAAAAAACGGACAATCACTCTACCACACCAGCAATCGGCAGACTACTAGAAAAATCAAAATATCAGGTGGTTCTACTCTTATATGCACCCTAAGATCACCAAATGTGGCGATATGTGTTCTGTGCTGGTTTTTGGCGCGATTGCGTGTTGTATGGCAACCCTTTTGACATTGAATACTCTTTTGTTGGAGTGTTTTAATTGCTCGTTGGTTCGTGTTGTGTGTGTTTTGAAATGGCCTATGTTGCAATAAGAGCCATGGTTGCTAGAAGGTCTGTGAGATTACTTTTATTGGCTGTGCATGATAGAAGTAAAGAAACACTGATGCAGTGTATTAAAGAGTGGATTGAGCTTCGTACAACTATTTTTTCGGGTGGCTGGAAATCTTACAAGGATTTAGGAAAAGAAGGTTTTGAACATTTACTTGTGAACCATAGTATGAATTTTCTGTATAGCGTGTCTGGCTGTCAGATAAATATGAAAGTGATTACGTGGCGGCATGTTAAAGGTGGCATGAAATTGGTATTTCTGGCTGTTCAAAAAAGCATTCATTCATGGTAAGTGCATTTTATTTTATTCTTGTTCTTATTTTGTAGAATGTTATGTTCATTGTTTAGTATGCATTTATATTGTTTTTGTTGTTTTTTTAATTCTTTGAAATTTATTTTAGTTATTTTAGTTTATTTTGTTGATTAGTGCATAGTGCCTAAATTGTGCAATTCGTAGATGTTTTTTAAAGTTGAAACAGAATGCTGTGTACATGGTATTCTTTGAAATTTATTGATGTTATTAAAGTGAGGTGTGCGTAGTTTGTAGATTCTTTTGCTGCCTAAATTGTGCAATTTGTAGATTTTTTTTAAGTTAAAACATATTGCTGTGTACATGGATTCTTGTCAAATATTTTTGGTTAGAAACTTTACGTTTTTGCTATCTAATTTTTTTTTTTTTTTTTTTTTTTTTTTTTTTTTTGTGTGTGTGTTTCAAATTTTTAGCTTAAATTGTGTGCTTAAAATGTTTTTGCATGTGCGAAAACCGCATTTTTGGAGACATTTTAGGCTTAAAGTTTGAAATGCAGACAAAAAATTTAGATAGTAATATGACACCGTGGAGTTTCTTGCCAAAAATGTTTGGCGAGAAATTTGACAACTTGAGGACATATATAAGAGTAGTTCCCATCAAGTTTTAAAACTGTACAGATGGCAATACTATTACAGTCAAAAGTCGTTAATTCGGACACCCATAATCCGGAATGATCTTTAATCCGGACCTCAAAGCTAAAAACTTTCTGCGCATGCGTCGCGTTGACACATGCGCATAGGCGTTTACGCGTGCGCTTAAGACCTCTTACGACTGCGCATTTGCATGTGCGCAAGCACAGAATACGTTTTTGCGTGCACGTTTTATGTATAACGGACGGCATAATCTAAAATTATCTAATTATCTATTTCAGTTAATGTTGATGATTGCATTGTTCCTTAATCTTCGAATTGGATCCGGATTATTACTTTTTGCAGACTGTAAGAGCAATACTATAAAAGTAAACTTGAACTTTCGATTATGTCAAATAGAATTTCCGATTCTGGAGCTCCCAAAGGATCGTACAAAAAGAAAGTATGTATTGATGTCCATCAAACAAAAAGTGGAATTGCTGCAAAAAATGGATAAAGACACGAAGAATGTGACAGAGAGGTTACTGAAAACAAAAAAATTTCGATTGACAAGTTAGTCGGTATTCTCGGCACAGCGTTAACGGGACTTGAACAAAAACTGAACTTTGTAACTGAACAAAAAATTATGTCTGTTTATAGAATTAAAGAGAAAGTATTATCACATAAAACGAAGCAACTTAAACAATTAAAAACTTACATTGAAAGAAATGTTTAATAAAGTAAACAAATAAATTAATTAAATAATTTTTTTTTTTGTAAATTTTGATACCCTTTAGATCATAATTGTTCTTTATTTCATAAATTACGGTTTCATATTTTTAATTTTAGAATTTCTGCATGCCATCTTACGCGATTTAAACTGATGATCTATAATCCGGAAAAATCGATAATCCGGAATTGCCGAAGTCCCGACAAGTCCGGATTAACGACTTTTGACTGTACTATTATTGAAGTTAACTTACACTATAAACTAATAAATAAGAATTTCCATAAAACTGAAAACGACATTGTATGAAATTTGCTATGATCCAGATATTATTACTATCTAGTGATAGAGTTGTAAGATTTGTAATAGAAGATTCATTCTAATATATCCTCCAGGATTCTTCATCTTCTGATTTTGTTCTACTATATCCTCCATGATTCTTTCACCTTCTGATCCTATATCTACTTGTGCTGGGTTTTACTTCTTTCTCAAATTTTATAACATTGTCATTTTATTTCTCTCTGCTGTTTCTAATTTAAAAGCTTTTCATTCATATTTTTAACCAAATATTCATTGTTTGCTTCGGATCCAAAAAGTTGATCAATTCTTTCAATAAAATTTGGTACTTTTCCATTTTGCCGGCGCAGGTGATCAAGTCGCCAATAATGGTACAACTGGATGCCAAACAGAATATCCTCGCTGGTAACCGTTTATGCCTCATTTTCAAAACAAGTCACAGCCATTTCTTATCATACTGATTGCTTCTTCCAATACTGGCATACAATTACATAGAATTTTTACCAGATAGTTCAATTTTATGCCCTAAGGCCATTCACAGTAATTAAGTCAATTAGGATGCAATCACATCACTCATCCAAAGGCCAAAATATAGAAAAGGCAAAGTAAAGAATTCAGCAGTTCTAATGAGAATGCACTAACAAAGTAAAGTACTGTGGTTTTACATAATTTCTGAGTAAGCTATTCCTACAAATTGAAATAATTCTTGCATTTAATTCCAAATTAAGATTTAACTTGAAATTAATATAGATAATTACTGAGAGCATTAGATTTTTGTAGCGTAATTTATGTGAGATCACTTGGGGTGACGTGATATGAACCGGCGAACCAGCATGTTGAACCATGAAAGCACAGCAGTTTCTTAAATTAATGCCTTTTTACAAATTTATTGGATTTTTACAAAATTTTAAACAATTTTAAAATGTTTATGCCTTCAAAATAAAAAAAATCTTAGAACTAACATTTGTTAAAATTTTTTATGTGTATACTGTATGTAGTTGCCAATAAAGTCAGCTTGGCAAAATTTGCACCAGCGAAACAGAAAAGTACTTAAAATTTTAATATTCATTTCAACGTTGAAAGAGCCATCAGATACCCAGTAAAAAAGCAAAATTGAAGATATCAGCCATGAGAAATTTACAACGCATTTTATCAAATAACGAAAATTTATTTGTGATAACTTAACACAATGAATTTATGAAACTGTTTAATTCCTGATCTATCAGCCATAATTAAATAAATAATATCAAAAAATTAAAATATGTTATGAAATTAAAAATCATAACATTGTGGTGTAATGGTAGCACATTCACTGTGTATTTGAGAGGTCCACGTTCGAGTTCCGATGAAGGTATTGCTCATTTTTCACGCCTTCCTGCTTCAAAATAACATAATCACTCTAAAAAATTTCAGAATTATGATGTTTACCATCACATAAAAATTGCACATTTTTTAGTATGGTGGCATAAAACTCCAAATATCTGCTTGCTTGCAAGATGTTACTGCAATTTAAAAAAAAAAAAAAAAACTGCTGTGTATACAGTGAAGCTTTATAACATCATATATTGACAGAGTAGATGAACATTTCTCAAAAACTTAAACAAAAGCAAAACATATGAAGGTCTGCAATCCTGCATCAGCTTCAGTTTATGAATAATTCTTGCTCTGCATGTTGTCTTTATCTTCATATTCACCCTCCTCATCATCCTTCTCCTTTCCTAGTACATAACTGATTATATTTTTGTCATCTTGGCAAAGAGAGATATAAACAGAATTGTCTACATCCATCCAAACCTACACATCCTCTTCACAAACATTATTTTTTTCCAAAGTGAATCCAAAATGCTGGTCATAAGTGCCAAATATGTTTTAAAGCCAAGTGAATTTTTGGCACGTAATTCGTCATCTATGAACATGATCACAAGCCACAATTTATATCAACAGCGACATAAAGTCATTTACATTTTTTCAGGCAAAATCCAATATAGTTTCCCAGGCAAAAGCAAATATAGTACCTTTCTACGTGAATTATTTAACAAAGTCATGGACACACTTTCAAAATTCCTACATCAATGCACAAAAGGGGATCAGCAGTTCCTGAATAACTCATTAGTTGGATAAGGCTTGTCATCTTGACAAAGTGAGATATACATAGAATTGTCTACATCCATCCAAACCTACACATCCTCTTCACAAACATTAATTTTCTCCAAAGTGAATCCAAAATGCTGGTCATAAGTGCCAAATATGTTTTAAAGTGAAGCGAATCTTTGGCACGTAATTCGTCATCTACGAACATGATCCATACTTGCCAAACTTTGACACTCAAAAATCAGGAGATTTTTTTAAGAAATCAGGAGATTTTTCACAATGTTAAAAAGACTTTTTAAATGATAAAAATATAGCTTTTAATAATGAATTAATTAACTTTAAATAGTAACTAATTCTTAAATGCAAGCAACACAAAAGCACTTTACACATAAAAAAACATTTTTATTACTTGCATCGTTTAAGGAAAAAAAAAAAAGACACATTAATCAGTTTTCATACAAATGTTATAAACAGTGGCAGATTTTGCTTTCTTTAAAAAAGAAACTGTTTCATAGATGTTGCCATGTAGGCCTGCTTTCGCTACTAAAAGTTTTTCTAATGTGTCATCGCTAATATTAGATCTAAATTTAGTCCTTGTTTTCGTAACAACACTGAAAATCCTCTCACACTCTGCATTACTATGGGGAACTGTCAAGATGGCCAACATAATTCTACACAGTTCACTATATTTTAAAATTCCATCAGCACCTTTCAGTTTTCCAATTAAACTCCACTGGGTGTCAACCCTAGCTGATTTTATAACTTCATCCAAGTTTTCTAATTGTAAACTGCTGTTATGCAGCTGTTGGAACTGTTTCAATTTTTCCTTCCTTTTAGAACTCCTTTCAAGATAATAATAAATATCAATAATGTGTTCATCTACATTTATTGGTAAAGAAGCTGCCCCTTTTTCAGCTACTGAATCTAAGAGGTGACAGGTGCACCTCATAATCTGCAAATCTGAATTTTCCTTTCTTAAGATGCCTGCAACACCAGTCTTGAAGCCTACCAATACTGGTACATTATCGGCACCATGTGCTAAGCAATTATCCAGAGGGACTGCATTTTCTTTTAAAGTTTTAATAATTGCAAGTGCTATATTAAAGCCTGTCAAATGTCCTTCTAAAGTGGGGACAGAAAATAAACAGCACTCAATTTCTGAAGACTGTGGATTAAAAAAAGAAACAACAATTGGATACAGTTTTGAATCGGTATTACTACTTCCATCCGTAGAGAGGCAGAACGGAGCTATTTTAATGCAATCAATTACTGAATTTATTTTTCAAACCCATTTCTTTAACAATTGCACCTGTTTTGGTTCTTGCACTTGAGTATTTCTTAGCGATTTCACTATCAGAAAACATTTTTCTAAATAAAGCTGCAGTGTAATCCAATGCATTCAGTGGCAGGTTGTGCTCCAGTAAAAAGGCAGAGAACAGACATTCTGCATTAATAACTTTTTGGTCCTCTGTTTCCGAAGAAAAATTTAATTTTCCGTTTTTTTCAATACAACTCATGCTGTCCTTGTGTTTTTGTGTACGCACATGTTTGAGAACTTCGCCCTTGCACCATGCGAAATCGAAAAATCGCAACGACAGGCGGTACACATCGCAAATTTATTACATTTCCTTGAGGAAATAATGGAAGGAAAGTCAACTGTGTACGATTTTAGAAATGTACATGAGTATTTCACCTTTCTCGCAGACATAACGAAAGATGATAATTTCTAAAACTATTTCCCGAAGGCACGTGTACTCACACAACTCAGGACAAAATTAACAAAATAACTAAAGAACATCCAAATAACAGCTTGCTTTGTCCTCATTGGCTAATATATGCCAGATGACACGCAGTGGAGCTCGATACCAATTGGAGAACTAGTGAACGATGTTCCTGGATATGTATATGCTCTCACTCATAAAGCAGAAGTTATCTGATTCGAAAGGTTTTGTTTTAGATATAATCTAGAGAAAATTCAATTGCTTTCAGACGTCTAAAATATTTTATTTATTTATTTTTTTTTTTTTTGTTTTGTTCATATAACAAAGTATTAAGACAAGTTCCATAAAAATCGTGAGAAATTTTAAGAATAAGAAAAAGTAGGGAAAATATATTGTAAATCGGGTTGGCGGGAGAGCGGTCGAAAATCGGGAGAGTTGGCAACTCTGATGATCATAAGCCACAATTTATATCAACAGCGACATAAGGTCATTTACATTTTTTCAGGCAAAAGCCAAAGCAAATATAGTATCTTTCTACATGAATTATTTATTCCAAAATTCACACAACAATGCACAAAAGGGGATCGGTAGTTCCTGAATAACACATTGTTGGATAAAGCTTGTTACATTGGGCGGCAAAAACATACCACAAATATTTTAGCATTCAGATTATTAACTCATTAAATACTTCTTTGTCTTGAAGATATAAATTTCAATTTTAAATTTAGATCTTCAAAAATTGCTATAAGGGATTAGGTTTCATATATTGTAAAAAAAAAAAAAAATTCTTATAAATCTCTTTAAATTATTTTCCTCAGCAATCAAATTTGTTATTATTTCAAATCTCTGCAGAAAATCACTGCTTCATATATTAAGAAAAAAGTGAATAGTGTACATGATGAATGATTTTTTTTTTAACCAATAGATACTAAATTATAAATCAAAGTAATACTAAACATGAAATAAATATAATAATTAAATTGGGGGGGGGGACTTTGGATTAATTTTCCTTTTTAATCTGAAGTCTAAATTTAAAATTCATAAAAAATAAATATATCTAAAAATTGTGCTACTCACAGTACTTTTCTCTTAAATGATCAAGATATGTGCTTATGCTTGCAGAACTTGAATATCCTAGGCAAATGACATATATTTCAGAATTTCCAGCTTTGCTTGTAAAAGGTTTAAAAACATGCACCTAAAAGAACACAAAGAAAAAATGAAATTACAATAATGAATATTTTACACACTTGTAAAGTATTTCAAAGTTGGTTTAATTTGCAATAATTATAGTCATATAGGTACTACCTTACTAAAGCCATCCTTAGTCAGTTAGTCCATAATGTGCAAGTTTCAAATGCCACTAAAGTTTTCTATGAGAGCCACTTTATATACAGTTATATATATAAAAACATACATTTAATTGTAAAAATACATGACTATGTTTTGAATTTTATTATTTATATAAATAATGAATATGTCAAGCTAATAAAAAGTCTGATTATTGTGGCAATTTAAAGAAACATTTAATGTGATTTATTGCTACAGCATTTTTCATACATATTTTATAATTTACAATACAGAATGCTTAAATAAAATATAAATTATATTTTTCCTTCAGCACTATACAAACTCATAATTTACAAAGCAAAATCAAGAGATATATGGTGAAATAGACTTATCTATTAGAACATGTTTACATGTTTGAATGCATATGTGTTATTTTTTTTTTTTTAAACACAGTTAAGTTATTATTAGATTTCAAAATCGAAGAAGTCAAATGTTATACTCATGTAGTAAAACGCTCGCAAAATTAGTTTAAAAGTATTTCAGATTTACTAAATATGTCTATTTCAAAATAAACTATTCGGTATAATTTATATTTTTCGAGAAATTTTTAAAAATTTTTTATGGCTTTTTTATACATTCATATTTTTAAAAACATAAAAATAGCACTTTATATTTAATTAAATAATTAAATTTTTTAAACATTCAAATATAAATACAGTATGCAAGTTACTTAATTTAGGAATTTTTTTGTGATTCCCAAATATTAAAAAAAAATTAGAATACAATTCTCTTTATTATGAAAGCACCTAATAGGTGGGCCACCATCGCCTTTCCTATGAAGGGGACGGACAATTACAACCATGCCTTTTCCGGGATTCGATTCCAGGCCCTTTGGTATCACAGTCAGCTTCCCTGACCACTATACCGACTGGGCGGCTAAACAACAACCTTGTGTTTGGCATAGATTTTAGTTTGTCAGGAGGAGGAAAATAACAATTCTGCAGATATTTTTGCTTTTGATGTAGAGAGACTTTACCTATTTGTTCTTGACACTGGATACAGTTTCTATTAAAAATCTACAGCAGTACTTGTGTAATATCCCGTCGACCATGAAAGTTGGCTACAGTCGAACCTTGAAAGTTGGTGGAAAAACCATCAAATTTGTGCCAATCATTCAGGTGGAATTCTGAAGAAACTGACGTCTCTTTAAACAATTATTATTCAACAGGCTATGTTTCTGCACTTTGTAAAAAAGATTCTCATAAAGTTCTACTATTTTGTTAAACTTCGATTTCATAAACTTGATACGCAACAGAACTCGTATATTTTTATGAACTCTTATTATATACAGTACAAAGTCTGTAATCCGGATGCCCATTATCTGGAATAATCTATAATCCGGACCTCAAAGCCACAAACTTTTTTTTTGGTATACTTTACGCATGCACGTTTAATGTTACGCATGCGCGTTTAGCACACACACACACACACACAAAAAAAAAAAAAAGCAACTTAAACTACTTGCACTGAAAGAAATGTTTAATAAAGTAAACAAATAAATATTAAGCTTTTTTTTTTGTGTGTGTAAATTTTGAGACCCTTTACATCATAATTGCTCTTTATTTGATAAATTACTTGTTCTCTCTATGATCGCAGTAAGCTGTTTTACTTCAAAAATACTACAGAATGCCCAAACTTGGGACTGGGAGTCAATACAGATACAACATACGTGTATATCTGGGTTACTACGTAAGTACTTTTTGTCAATATTGTGGGTTGCTACCTAGCTATTTTAGGAATAAACTGCTTTGCTCTAGGAATACTTTTCTTGTTCCAGTGTGGGCCAGATAATAAGAGAATACCCTAAATATTTTTATTATATTTGTCACTTATCTCAGTAATTCTCAATTTTATCTCTATAATGGGATAAAAAGTTAATTTACCATGCTTCTACTCATAAAGTTCTACTATTTACTACTATCTTACTTTAATGGATACATCCTTGATATCGGTAAATTCAATGTGCTGATTGATAAGATGTGCATCCAGAAAGAAATTTCACTAGGTTCATAAACATAAACAGAAAGAAAACATAGCTATTACATGGAAAAAATTATTGGAACAGATACAGCAGCTGTCGAATTACTTTTCAACATATTTACTATTAGAACTGAAACACTCATTATATTGTGAGATCAGCTTTTGTATTCCTTTGTCACAGAATTCTGTCACCTGATACTGGAATTGCTGTGTAACGGCTGTCTGCCCTCTTCCTCACTTTGAAAATGCTGACCAGATAGAAATTTCTTCAAGTACAAGGGGGGAGAACGGAGGCTGGGAGCAAGATCAGGACTATAAGATGGATGGTCATACACCTCCCTAGTATGAACTAATGCAGAAAACAGGTTGTGCATTGAACTGTATGCAGTCAAGCATTATCATGGACCAACTTACCATCTGTACTAGGCATGCAGTGCCTCTTCCTCTGGATGGTCCAACAAAATATCACAGCATTTGACAGTAATGGTGATCATTTACTGTTCACTTCTGCCCTGGAGTTCAATGACGAGATCGTGCATAGCAATTTTCAGACAGATACAGTCTATTTAAAATTTTTCCTATATGGAGATCCATTGTGATTTCAATGCATCAATTTAAGTTTGGTTTCAAGAACAAGACAACAACCCATAATTTACCATCTGTGATGATCACGTCAGGAAATTCATTCCTGCAGGGCCGGATTTATGTATAAGCTATAGCTTAAGGCCCCCACTTTCTTGGGGGACACCCAAAGAATTTAATATAAATAGTATTAAAACATATTATAACAGACTTATAAAGGGCCCCATATCTCAACTAGCTATCAAGTCTAAATCTGGCATTCTTTTCATAATTGTACTGCTGCTGAAAAGTCAATGCTGATCCCAAGTATTTGTTCATGTGTTTGTGTGTCAAGCTCATCAATATCCAACTGGAATACAATTTCAGAATAAGAAATGTTTTGAGACAATTTCATGCAACAAGAAATAGAATATCTGAAAAGAGCAACAGCAGTGGTTCTATATCACTTGCACACCACTTGAATGGTCATGATGTCAAGCTTATAGCACAGTTAGTGATGAATTTTGATCAGCGCATTCAGAAACTTTATCAAAATTAATCCCCCAATTGGCAAGTGAGAAAATAAGGGCTAACATTTTAAGTTGCTAAAAATGTGATAATATGAGTGACTGGGAAGTGAGAACTGCTGCATATGATAATATCCTAAAACTCCCAGGCGTGCACTGCCACAAGGACATGTGTCTTTCACGATGCATGGTCTATCAGCTATTGCTGGTGAAACTCAGGACAGGATGCTTTTATTCTGGATGTACCTCATAAATGCCATCCCTGACAATCATCTTCTCTCTTCCCTTCTTCTCCACTAATTCACATTCTGGAATCACGTCTTGTCATCTTAGACAAAATTCATGGAATTTTAAGGAATATTACAATTTTAAGATAATATATATGAATATTTATCATTATGAGGACTAAATACTTTTTACCTCTTTAAATATACAATTCAAAAAGTATATTTGACAGATGTTCATGTATTCAAACAGGGTGAATTTTTTTATCACAAAACTGCCCCCTGGAGCTAAAATACTCAAGCCAATCAGCATTTCTGAAAACTGAAGGTCAGCAACAAGGAACTCTTGCTCACCAGGATTATCCAAACAATTGATGCTTCCATCAGCAGTAACCTATACATAAAATAAGACATATTTTTAGAGAACAACAGGTGAATGATATTTTATTAATGTCACACAAAATGTTGGGAAATTAATGAAAATAAAATAGAATAATTATCGGAATTAATGCAAGAAGAATCGGTGTAATATTCATAAATTTGCAGGATTAATTTCAAAAGTTTAAATATAGAATCTTCTTCAGCTGCAAAACCTGTGCTCTGGTGATAACAACAAAAGGAAGAAAGTCAAACTACTGGAATCACCTTTCTTCCTCGCTTGAACACAGGCTTCTCTTTCATAATTTGCACTTCTGCAGCTGAAAATCCATTCCAAAAATTGTTATTCGCAGTGTTATTTTACCCCAGATAAAACAGAATAAATTTAAGATAAAACAGATAAAACACAATTAATTTATTTAAAGGTGGTTACTTAATATGAAGAAAACAAATATCATGAAATATAAAAATTAAATTAAGTCTTAATTTTATTAGTAGTTTATTAATTAAATTTTGTTTCACTTTATAGCAATTCATTCAGATGTAATTCAGGAACACAGCTCCATTCACCTTCTTTTGGCTACTTCTTGATAAATATCTTAAAGGTTACCTACTTTATTTAATTGGGGTCTGTCACACTAAGCCAACATGGACAGTTAGCCCACAGAACATTTAGCCAATACGGACATTTAACCGACAGGACACCTAGCTGACACTGACGTTTAGCTGACAAAGGATATTTAGCTGAACAGGACATTTAAGTGACATGGACATTTAGTTGACAAGACATTTAGCCAACAGGACACACATTAACCCTTTGAGGTTTGGTGCATAAAAAAAATTTTTTTTTGGAAAAAATAACTTTACACATAGATAATTAGCCCCTAACACAATGTTATTTCATGAAAAAAAAAAAAAAAAAAAGTAAACCTTTAAGGTAATTCATGACATGGTGGGATACCACTTGTCCCTCTGTGCATCTAGAGCAGTAAAATGGCATCTTTGCCTGAGCATAAATTTTCCTAACATGCTTATCTAAAGTTGTAGTTTTAGCAACCAAATGAAAATGCATGATATAATAAACATTTTTGAATAATTATCTACAAAATATTGATCATATTCGCAAAATAAAAAATATTTTTCTTTAAAAAAATTATATAATTTTAAAAAATCGTTCTCTGTAAGACATTTTAGATATTTTTTAATGATTTCATAATAGATTTGAAACAGAAAATTTTCGTTCCAGTACTTTATTTGCTACAGGTTTGAAAAGAAAGATATTTAGAAGGTTGTCATGTTTATTTACATTTCACCTCTCTTTCTTCTGCTTAGGATATTTTTTTATGGTGAATCACACTCACATATCCATTCAGCATTCAATGACATTTCATGTTACGGAGTTAAATTTTCATTTCTTTCGGAAAAAATACTAAATATTTTAAAAGTTTTAACATTAGTGCAATTTATTAAAAAATATAAAATTGCATTATCAACATATAAAATAAACATACTTGAATTTTAAAATATTTAAATGGTGCTGCCATCTAGTAGCAGCAATGCCTACATGTGCGGTGGAACATATTTGTCCCATCTTTTAATTTCAACCATTCTTAATTAATATGTATGAATTAAAATAATAATTTTTATTAGAAAAGGAAACTTTCACATAAAAATTTTCATTCTAAAAAACTGCTTCAAATTTACACCTGCAAAGAATTTTTATTTTACATTATTTCCATGAATGAATACTAGTGCTGCCATCTGTTATACATTTAGAGAACTAAAAGGCATTATTATAAATATTTTAAATAGAATTTTGCAGCTTTCATCTGTGAGACAAAAAAAGGTGGGATGCCCGTTAAAGGGTTAAAGATATTTTAGCCAACAGCACATTTAGATGACAACATGTACACTTTAACAAAAAAGACATACAGCAATGTTTTAGGACAATTTGTCGACATTCATCTTAAAAAAAGGCTGTTTTCAGGGTACCCAATGAAAGGGTTTATGATTAAGTACCATATTTTTTACTCTAATGTTAAAGAGACTCTGGATTTTAAAATTAAACAGACATAAAACTTTATTTTAGCACAGATTTATTAATTCAATTTCAAGAGTAATCAGACATAGGTGTCTATGTTTGGTTTGAATTTGTTTATTTGATTATAACAAAGTACTCGAGAGCTACATGCCTAAGGGAAGGGATGCCTATGTGGAGGAATTTCTTGAAGAAACTTTTTTTACATATTGTTGGAGACGGCCACTGCAGACAGACGATTACATAATGGCTCGGCGAAGGTCAACAGAAGGAGCGCCGCATCTGATTGGACTATTTTTATTATTCTTATTTTTTTCTTTAATTGCGAACTAAGCGGGGAAATTCCCTTTTCACTCAGTTATATGTATGCACTAGTTAAAGTAATGTAATGTTTTCAGCTTGTGTGAGATATCCATATTAAATATTTATATTAATAATCCCTGCTGTGATTATTTAATTTGTAATCTGCACGTTGTAGCCCTGTGTGAGTTGCAACATAGTAATTTGGCATCCGCTACTTTATATTTTTGATGAATATGGATATAAAAGTTTGAAAGCAAAACGAAAGTCGCTGAGAACAGCGTTTACGGTATGCTGCAACGATATAGCTCAGAAGATCGAAAACAAAAGTCAAGGAAGTGACGAAGTCAGTACGTTGTTTCGGCAGATTCAAGACAAATTCTCATGTTTGGAAACAACTCAAGAAGAAGTTTCGAATTTGTTGCTGAGTGATGATGCCCTTCAAGATGAATATTCTGAAGATTTTTTGAAAGCAGAAGAATACCATGACAAGTTCTGCTTGATCTGTTCGCTCTTAGAAAATGCAAAGAAGGGAAATTCGGTTACGGAAGGAACAACAACCGAGCAAAAAAGGAAATTCAAGCTTCCGAAACTTGAATTAAGAAAATTTAGTGGAGAACCGAAAGACTTTCTTGCTTTTTGGTCCCAGTTTGAAAAAATTCACAACGACCTCTCCATTGTCGATGAAGATAAATTTCAAAATCTTTTACAATGTGTGGTAGCAGATTCTAAAGCATCCAGACTCATAACAAGTTTTCCGCCAACTAAAGAAAACTATTCAAAGGTGATCGCACAACTTACAGAACGCTTCGGGAGAGATGAACTTTTAGTTCAGATTTATGTACGGGATCTACTTTCCATAGTAATGAAAAATGCTGCTGGTAGGATAAAAGTAGATTTAGCTATATTTTATGATTTACTTGAGAGCAAGCTTATGGCACTGGACAGCCTCGGTAGAACTAAAGAAAAATTTGCAGAAATTTTAGAGCCACTTGTTGAGTCCTGTTTACCAGAGACTGTTCTTCGTGCGTGGGAAAGAAGCCGCTCGATGGAAGATACTGCGTCACATCAAGAAAGTGCACGTTCGTAGGATAAACTTTTGTGCTTTCTTCGAAAGGAAGTGCAAAGTGAGGAAATGATTAAGCTCGCTCGTACCGGGTTGAGAGCTTCACGTTCTGCACATTCGCGTTCCCATTGTGATGATCCAGGTTGCTCTACAGCTGCTGCCTTGGTAAATGTTCAAGACAATACAGGTAGGTGAAATTTACGTTGTATTTTTTGTGAGAAATCCCACAATTCTGCCGAATGTTTTTCTGCTCGCAAAATGTCTTTAGAAGATAAACAAAAACTTTTGGTGCAAAAGCACGCTTGTTTTTGCTGCCTACGAGTTGGACATAGTTCACGGGCATGCAAAAATAAAGTTAAATGTTTAACATGTGATAGATTTCACTATACCATTATGTGCTCAAATGGGGAACCTGTAAAACCAAATGAAACTGACAATACTGTTATTTCAAGTAATGCATTGTCTAATCAGTCAACTGTTGATGAAAATGTGTATTTGCAAACACTTAGTAAATTGCAAACACTTGCAAACACTTAAAAATAGTTTTTGAGGGTAGACAACTTACAGTTCGTACGATTTTGGACAGTGGTTCTCAGAAATCTTATCTTTCAGAAAGGGTTATCGCGTTTTTGCAACTGCGTCCTAAATCAAAACAAACTATTATCCACTGTTTGTTTGGGGGGGAGGGGAGAGAGACAAGTCCTCATTCCCATTTAGTGTTTGATGTTAATTTAAGAAATTTTGAGGGCACTTATGACCATAACTTTGAAGTACTTTCTCAAAACAAAATATGTGGATGTGTTCCAAAAGTAGTTGATCCCAATACCCTAAAAGAATTAAAAGAAAGAAATATTACCTTGTCTGATTTGCAAGCTAAAGAATATGACATTGAATTGCTTTTAGGAGCAGATGCCATCAGGGACATTATTACTGGCAGTTCTCTGAAACTGAACTCTGGTGTAACTGTAGGACTAAATTCGGATACACTGTGATTGGTAAAGTAAACAGCTTACCTAAAGAACATACTTCAGCTACTATTCCAGCATTACTAGAAAATAATTTGTGCAATAATGTAGTTTCGTTGCATTGTGCTAATCTTAGCGTAACTGAACTCTGGAATTTAGATGCCCTTGGCATAACAGATCCAACTGAAGATGTTAAACGTAAACTTGCTCACTCTGACTGACACCGTTAAGCAATTTAAAGAGAATTTAAATGTTCTTCCTTGATGGCCGATACGAATTGCCACTACCCTTTAAATCTGAAATTCTGTTACCTAACAACTACCTAGTCTATGACTTTTAAAAGGCATCATCAAAGAATGTGTCACCGAATTAATGAGAAAAATCAGTTAGATGACTATAAGGTAGTTTTTAAGGAATGGGAAGACCTTAAAGTAATAGAAAAGGTTCCTGAAACTGAAATTGATAATTTGAGTTATTATTTGCCCCACAGACCCGTTATAAAGCATACTAGCCAGACAATGAAGGTGTTCGAAGCTTCAGCCCGAGAGAGAAATCAACCATCCCTAAATGACTGTTTAAATAGAGGGCCGAACTTAATTGAACTCGTACCAGATATAATTGACAGGTTTAGATTGTATTCTGTTGGT